AACTTCTCATGAATGGTTCACCTTATAAGCAGAATATTGAGTGCTATGCTCCCTCATCTCTGTGACACACCACACTGGCTTCCAGTTTTCTTCTGCAGAGAGCTTTGTACCACATGGTCCAGGAAATTACTCAGTTTGAAATCTGTGTAAATACCTTGTCAAAGGTAGCAGTCAGTCTTTCTTGGATTTATTATTCTGGTTTTTAAAAGAGGAATTAAGAAACATTTAAAACTGTTGAATTTTTCAAGAGTCTGAAATAGACTTATTTTTAGGACTATCTGAAAAAAAAGTCCTATATCTGATATGATCTATTTATTCCACATTCAATATGGTTTGGTAGCTTCTAATATATGATAATACTTGTCCCTTTCACTGTCCAGATGCTAACAGATATAATAAAGTTCAGGCTGGCTAGGAATTGAAGCTAGGAGAATAACTAGATACAAGGGTCTGTGGTTTAGAAAACCTGCCACAACGAGATAAAAACTATCAAATATCTGAAAGTTTCAAATACTCTGTAGCACATGAAATTCTTTCAAATCAGTAAACATTGTAGTTGTCTATGCAAATTCATATTTAAATAATATTAGAATAGATACCACTTGGAATATTAGAAATGTGAAGCAAAACAACATTTACATTTTGTAGCTTACCAAAACGTATTTGCAACAGTGTACTTAATTTTGCTCACTAGTTCGTTACCCAGACTCACATTCTTTAAGAGTAATAGAAGAAGACTGACATATTTTGCCTATAGACATCTATGCTTTTTTACTCAGAAGGAAAATAAACTGCATCCCCAAGACTTGAAAATATAGTCATGATTAGAACATCTGTAAGTGTATAAATCATCTAAGCAGTCTTTCTTACTGCTTATCCTATTAAAGGGTGAAGAACATGATGAGTCTATAAATAAATATCCAGACTACCAACCAGAGGGTAAACCTTTAAGCAGTTTAGCTTCTGCATTTTTCAGTAACTGATTTTACCTTTAAATCTTTCAGCTCTGTAGCTTTAGAGATGTCGGTTTTGCAAAACCTATTTTTAGTTATTAAAATTTCCTTTAAAATGTTTTAGAAATACAACAGTATATATGCAAGGATATTAACAGGTTGCTATGGTTAAAGGACACTAGAGGAAAAGGAAGTGCCGAAGGCAGGTAAACAATGCAAAATTCTCAGCCTAATGTCAAAATACCTTCCGGCAACATTCCAAAGCAAGTTTTAAACACCAGGACTTCAGTGCCTCCAGAGGACCACTTCTCCTTCCTTTTGCTTTCTGATATGTCTGTGTTCTAAAGATCTTAGCATATATTAATATTTTTGAGAGTATCCTGACATAGCCCCAAGTTTTGGGGCAAGATAAATATATGCCATTTTTCAATCTTACACTTGAATTTTTCTTTATGTGAGCAAGATCAGAACCTGTCATGTTAAACCTACATAAGCTGAAGGGTTATGCTAAATCTGCGTAAGATTAAGGGCTAGTTAAGAGATTTTAGTGCTACACAGTGCTCAACCTTATTCCATTCTGAGCTGCTTACCGAGTTTAAAAGGCACATGCTCCATTAAGTTACTTAAAGGTTTTAGTTCAAAGCAATTGCACAGTTTTTAACTTCTCATTGGAAATTGCATGTAATTTATGGGCTAGGTAGAATATTATTTCAATTATTTAAGTAAAATGTAAACATGTAAGCCATTAAGATACAGCAGTCTGATATCAGTAACTTAATGATGCTTCTTTTGATGATGTCCATGATAATAGAGAGCCCTGGATGCCACAGTTGCTTCTACGTCTTCCAATACAAAAAGGAAATTTTTGTGATGACTGTCACATGGCAATATTAAGTCAGAGACCTTGAAAACAGTGACATTTTCAGAGTGTATACATTGTTAAATCCCAAAACTTTTATTGGAAGTTAATAAGGAAGTACAGTACATATGGGTATAGCTCAAATATATTGTTGTTTGATGATCAGTAGTTTGTACATCTGAAACAATTTTGGGAATCTAATTGTTAGAGAGAAAATGCCTTCTTAGATAAAGAAGCTTTTTTCATTCTCCCAGTAAGAGTTAATGTAGTTAATGACAGGGAGTAACAAAGAAAAGGCTTTTAATAAATGACTGTTGTGCATTAACAGTTCAACACTAACTCATTATCAGGATGTCCATCTTAAATTATTTATACATGGCTGCACAAAATTGAATTGAGAAGTAGTGTTTGGTGAGTTTGCCCTTCAGTTTCCATGGAAACAGATGCTGGCTTGTATTTCTTTAAAGCTGGTTTTAAAGTGGAAAACTACAGCACATTAATTCCCAGAAAGATGAAAACTTAATATATTTCATAGACTTTTAAAAAAATATTTGTTTTGTTAAACAATGGCTGATATCAAGCCATATAGCTCATGCATGGCACTTTTAATTTCTACTGATTTTCTTTTCCTGTTTGATCTTCTCTAGTCACCCTCTGCCCATTTCAGTAGAATGGCTTAATAGCGAATATCTTTCATTTTGTCTCCCATCCTCAGTATATAACACAGGCTTAGCTGAAGCTCTTATTTAACAAAAGCATTTTAAGTAAATAAAATACAATAAAGTCGGCTATTTTTTCTCTATCATAATAAAACAGCAAGCTTTGCTTTAGGTAGCAGGTATTTGAAACCTGACTTCAATAATTAACTATTTGACTCATATGCAAATCACACAGGGATACACATGCAAATCAGTTTCCTTATAAGGAATAACAAAGCCCAAGTCAAAAAGTTATTGTTATTTTTACATAATGTGATTCAGGTAGAGCCCCTAGAACAGTTGCGAGATGAAAACAAATCAGTTTATGGTGGCTATACTAATTATACTAACTATAACTATGGGAGCTACTGCTTCGTGACAAGCATTGGGCTGTGTGCTCCATCCGCACGCACACATCCCTGTATTAGCATCTCCATTCCCTGGAGAGAAGTACTGAGAGATGAAGGCAGAGTTTGAACCTTCTTCTGCCAGGCTCTAGATCTCAAGATTTTTCCAGCATACCATTCTACCTCTTGTGGACATGTTCCAAGTGTCCTGGCTAGTAGAAGGTCTCTCTTTAAAGGTTTTCACAAAGGATTTCCCGAAATTAAAGTATGGCATACTGACATACCAAACAAAATAGCTAATTCAGTTGAGTGGGTTGTAGAAAAATTTTTTCATGCTATATATATTTTTTCCAGTTTTAGAAAGTCATAAATTTCCTGGGTGTAGCACAGGAAAGTATACAATTGGATTGTTAATTTGGAAATGAACATCTGATTCTGGTTCAAAGCTATAATACTTTTTACTTGGTAATCATGGGAATTTGCAAAGAATTCCGCTTTGTTGGTTTCTTGCCTTTGTTTAGCCCTGGACAACACACCTCTTTCCAGAAAAAGGAATTATTGTTTACTCCTCATTTGTGTCCACTGGTAACAGTGACAAAAATGCAGTTTTAGAACAGAAACACATCTTTCTTCTAAGTGTCTAGTGAGGTCCATGGTTAAACCGGCTTCACAAAAGAGGTGCCAGTGTGTGGTATTTTATCAAAGCTCTGTAGTCGATTGTAATACAAAGCCTGCTTTTTTTTAAAAATCATTTTCAAGGAATCTGTGCATTGAATATAAATCCTTTTGAGATCAGCACTCATATGGTTGTACCGTATTTAAAATAAACCACAAAAGTACTCCCTTGTAGAAACAAATGAACAACAATAACAAAGCACCACTCTGAGGAGTAGGACCATCTATCTTCATATAGCTAGAAAGCATAAATGAGTGCACTTACACACATGGCTTTCAAGACATTGTTCAGATTAAGCATGCATGCTGTAGATTCTATGAACAAATATAGATGTAGAAGTAGAGACTTTCTGTAAGTATATAAAATAGTCATTAAAAACAATTCAGTGAAGCTTTCATTCAGGTGATGAATGTTTTCTTTGTTTTCGAAGTAATTATATATAAAATGTTTGTAAAGTCTCAGAGTAGTAAACAGGATGACCAAATAATTATTAGCTTGATCTACATAAATTGACAGGTAGTCTGCCATCTTGATCTACAAATATGGCAATTTAAACCTAACATCATGCTTAAGTAATAAATTATTTGCTATGTGCATTGTATAACTTCTGGTAAAATGCTTCTGTAAGCACTAAAATTAAATTATCTTTCACTCAGAGACCTAATACCTTTCAAGAAATTACTATCATGGAGCATATAATTAGAAGTATAAATAATTTTTGTTTTGAACAACTAAATATATAAATATATATTGCAGAATTATGATGAATCCAGTTATGTAGTGCTATAATGTTTTTAAAAAATTGTATAAATCAATGAAAGTCTTATCATTTTAAAATAATATAAAAATGACTTGTAGTATTCACTCACTTTCTCATGTGTATATGAGTGTTTTCTAGAGTATTACAATTGTTTGTGTCATATTTTAATAGAGAAAATATCAAAACACATTAGAAAAAAAGTATCTTCTACTAAGTAGGCTTTAGCACAGTTTACAATAATTTAAAACATTTTGGTGCTAGTATTTTCACTATGTGATTAGAATTTAAAAGACATTAAGTATTATTTCAATTATTATATTGTTGATATTTATGTTATTTTAATGAATTATAAAGTTTTAAATTCTTAGTTTTAATTTCATATAGTAGTATTTCTAGCCCATATAAACAAAGAGCTCTATAGAGTTTACAAAAAAATTTCAATAGTTAAGATTTGTATAACCAAAAGTTTTAGAAATCCTTGTAAAGAAACAAGAAAACTTTATTTCTTCAGTCTTAAAATTTCCCCTTACTTTTATAGTTCCCTATGATTAGGACCTTTATTGTCCTTGAAAAAATGTCATTTAAATAGATCTATTTAAAAACGCTTACAGCATTTTACTCAGTACATGAAAAAAATATTGAGCTCTTTAGAAATTGCTCCATTTGCAAAATACATTTATAACTTAACCAAAATAAATAATTCATACCTCACCAAGTGAGTAATAACGTCTCGGGATCTGGGAGTCTGGATAGATGTTTTCTAGGTACCAAGAAAAGGGCTTACACTTCAGATTTTCTCTTAGTGTTTTTCTGACTGACACATCTCCATAATCCACTTTGACAACACCTGGAATTTTTCAGAGAAACATAAATCAGTTTGTGCTATTTTCATTTCAGCACAGTTTCACTCTGTTTACTCTGTTAGCAATTTTTTCTTTTTTTTAAAAAAAATTTATTTATTTATTTATTTATTTATTTGAGAGAGAGAGAGAGAGTGTGTGTGGCCAGCTCAGCCCACCAGGGGGCAGGGCTGGCTGGCATGTGGTGCTGGGGGATTGAACCGCGGTCCCTGATGCTTTTGCTAAGCTTGTTCTAAGTAGGTGCTTTAGACCACTGAGCCATCTCTCCAGCCCCGCAATTTTTTCTATAATTATAATTCTATCAAATTCAATTGCATTCGCAGCTGCTACTACACTGATTTTCTTAGTAACATCCAATTAGTACATTAAATAGAAAGAAAAAAGTTCTTCCATTGGGTATAACTTTTTAAATGCAAATATTTATCACAAAGTACTTGTAATTCTTGGAATCAATCATTATGAGGTAAATATAAATTGCTATCTAATAATCAAAAGTTAACTGAACTGTTTAATGTGTCTGTTTTTCTTTAATAAAAATTTCAGAATTTTGTTACTACTCATTTAATCACCTTATAAGAAATTTATATAAATAGCCTCATGACTTCAAACGTGTTTTAACTTTCTCCTTGAATTTCTTTTCCATCTATACTACAGACCTGATGTTTTTCTTCACAGATTTTTGCTTCTTTTCATATATGAGTTAGTGAAAAGCACATCAAATTCCTGGAGAAGTTGGTAAATGAATAAGTATGAAGAAACCAACAAAAATGAAATGGACAAGAAAATATTTCAAATACATAATTGCATTGCTTATTTTGTCATAATACAGCTAAATGTTTAAAATTAAAATGAATATTATCATTGAAGATCATAAAAAATGCTTCTGAGTAATAAAAATGATAAGTCTAATTTTTATATAAAGCCTGTGGTAACATTCTTCACTCATTTTTATCAGTATTAAAAATAACATTTGATTCAAATGATTAAATAACTATGAAAAATTAGAAATTATTTCTCAGGTCGTTTTGAAAAGATTAGGTTTAATTCATTTTTTTAAGACCAGTAAATAGATACATGCTGGTGGGGTCAATGACTTAGTATGTAGAGTATTCTACTACATGCAAGTAGCAAACCAAAGCAATGACCATGTAAAATAAGGAGCAATTATTTTCAAAAACTAGATATCTTGAGCTAATCACATTATTATGATATCATTTGCAAAACCTGTTACTCAATAGTTTCATGTTCTGTCTTCAGAAATTTTGTTTTTTCAAAATTGAGAGTCATACAATTGTTAGAAAGCATTTTGATGACACTTAAGTAGCAGAACCATTTTTTTCTGGGAGAAAATATTGATTTTCCTAGCTAGCATTTGGACAGGAAATGACAATGCCTGTGAGCTTTGTAAACAGATGAGTATTTGTTTTTAAAATCTCTCTATCCAGAATTTCCAAGGTGGAGTGCTCTTCATTTCAAATGAAGAACATGGGAAAAAAGGTTGTATTTATATAAGCAATCACCAAAATAATAACATCCTATATTGTCACTACAGCTGAAATGATCACAATACAGCATCCTCCAAATTATGTATCAGTTATATATGATATGAGGTCTAGGCAAAAAGCACTGTATCCTCAGATACTTCCATATCTGGTTTCATTTATGAGGGGCATGAATTTAATTGAGATGGAATATTTGATATCAAGATTCTTCCCATTTTTTTCAAGTTAAAATTTAATTATTTTGGTCTCAGAATACTTTTCTGTAGGGATTTTATGAGTGTTTTTCTGGCTGCAAGACATGTTTGAAGATTGATTTAGATATCAATTTACCATAGCTCATATAAAACATTAGTTATGGAAGTAGGATTTGGACATGAGTGTGAGGGGATACTAGAATTTGCAGAGTAGATCTAAGCACTTTTTAAGGGTAAGGGCACCTTACTGGTCCTGGCCTGGAGCTGTGAGGGAGAAAGTGGTCCCTTTTGTAGCCCTCTCTGCCTTTACCACAGGGACGAGATGAGGGAATCCTCGGAGCTCAGCTACAGGAGAGCAGGAATTTTCTTGTGTTATATGATTTAGTGACTATGAAAGAGAGCCTGAATCAGTTCACTTAGACTGTAATGAAAATAGCACTTCATTGGTGCCCCAAACATATTTACAAAGCAAGCCTCTAGAACATAGTTCCAGCAACTTCAGTGGGATCTTAAATAGGCAACTCCTAGATGACACCAAAAGAACAAAGCTATTTTATCAGGTAACTTTGGGAAGGGGTCAAAGTACAAGATGAGTAGCATAATATTTTATTTACTGAAAATGTTGCAGAGTGTTTACTAAATATGGAAAATAAGATGGATGCTCTCGTAAGGGAATTATTCAAAACCCTTCAGAGATATAACCAGAAGAGTTTGATATAAAATGTCATATTCAAGACATCACAACAAAGAGAAAATATTAAATAGCAAATCACCTACAAGATCACACCTATCAGAATGGCAACAGCCATCACCCCAAACATTAAATGTCAGGAGAACATAGAGTGAAGTTTTTCAAACCTTAAAGAAAATAAATACTAACATAGATTAATGTTTTTGTACATTAATATTGATCCCAGGAGAACATAGAGTGAAGTTTTTCAAACCTTAAAGAAAATAAATACTAATATAGATTAATGTTTTTGTACATTAATATTGATCCCACCAAAAAGAAAAATCAGGAAAACAAAGCTACTGTGTAGAGCTTCAAATGTAAAGACTAGAAGTCAACCTGAATACAAAAATTACAGAAGTCTGAACAAAGAAATTGAAGAGGGCATCGGAAATTGGCAAGTAAACTATGTGTTACTGGCAAAATTAATATTGTTTATATGGCCTTATTACCAAAAACAATCATGGATTCACACAACTGTTGCTTAAATACCAATGAAATTCTTCACAAAACTAGGAAAAAACCCTCTAAAATTCAAAGTCAACAAGGAAAAATACAGTACAATCAAAGAAATTCTGAACAAAAAGAGCAAAGCAGGAAAGCACAGCATATTTCAAATTATACTACAAAGCTAGAAGGAAAAAACTGTATCAAAAACAAAACAAAAAAATGGACACCGACCAATAGACTAGGACAAAAACAACCCCAGGCACCTATAGTCAGTTAATTTTTGAGAAGAGACCAACAGCATACTTGTGTGCGCCTGTAATTCCAGCTCTTGGGAGGCTATAAACAGGTAGATCATCACAAGTCCATATAGTAGTGAGACCCTGAACACCCTGTAGACCCTCTAAAAATACAAGAAAGAAAGAAAGAAAGAAAGAAAGAAAGAAAGAAAGAAAGAAAGGAAGGAAGGAAGGAAGGAAGGAAGGAAGGAAGGAAGGAAGAAAGAAAGAAAGAAAGAAAGAAAGAAAGAAAGAAAGAAAGAAAGAAAGAAAGGATATTATCTTCAACAAACAATTTTCAAGAAATTTACTCTTCATATGGTGATGATAAAAGCTAGATCCCTATCTCTCATTCTCTACTAACATAATCTTAATGGACCAAAGATCTAAAGGTCAAAACAGAATCACTTGACTTGTTCGAAGACAAAACTATTGAAGATATCAGCATTGGCAAGAAATTTATGAACAGAAACTCAATGGCACAAGAAATAAATCAACAAAAGGGATCATATAAAATTAAAAAGCTTCTGCACAGCAAAGGAAACAACCAACAAAGGAAGACACAACATAGAAGATGAAAAAATAATTGACAGCTATCCCTCGGATAGAAGACTAACTTCTAGAATATATAAAGAACTTAAAAAAATAGGCAACCCAAATAAAAGATCCAATTAAAATACTGGAAAACAAAAATTACTAGATATTTTTCAAAAGAAATACAAGTGGCCAATAAATACAGTACATGAAAAAAATATTCAAATTGCTAGCTATTAGAAGAATGCAAATTAAAACTACTTTGCAAAGTCATCTTACTCTAGAAAGAAAAGCTATCATCAACAAAGCCCCGTGCTAACAAATGATGTTGAGGATGTAGGGGGAAAGGAAATGTTCTCCATTGCTGGGAGGGTGACTTAGTACACTTACAATGTAAATCAAAGTGGCGCTTCCTCAAACAACTAAAACTATAAATTCCATTTTACCTACCTATCCCCTTTCTAAGTATCTTCCCCAAAGAGATAAAATTATATTAGTGGGAGACACATATACTCAAGTTTACAGTAGCACAATTTATAATAGGTAGATCTTGGAAACACCAGATAGTCCATCAACAGATGAATAGACAAAGAAAATTTATTTATTTACAATGGAGTACTAAGTTCTCTACCATAAAGAAAGATAAGCTTGAGGAATTTATAGATAAATGAAGGCAACTTGAGAACAGAATACCAAGTTAAATAATCCACAAACACTAGTCCTTTCTTTCTTTCTTTCTTTCTTTCTTTCTTTCTTTCTTTCTTTCTTTCTTTCTTTCTTTCTTTCTTTCTTCTTTCTTTTTCTTTCTTTCTTTTTGTTACCAGGGATTGAACTCATGAGCTCGTGCTTGCCAGGCAAGAGCTTATGCTGCTGAGCTATCTCCCTGGCTCCACACAATTTTAAATATCAAATAATTTCTCTTATATGAGAAAATCAAAGTACACATAAGAGGAGCAAATATAAGACACATAAATGGGAAGTAGGAGAGGTTCAGAGAGTTACTCAAATTACTTAATCTGTTGTTTCAAATATATTATATTTTATTACTTTATTAATTAATTTATTTTTTAATGTATTTGGTTGTTATAGGGTCTCCTTATGCAGCTTGGGCTCATAGTGATCCTCCTGTTTTCAGCCTCCTCGGCACTGGAATTACAGGCATGTGCCACCACACCCAGATTCTGGATGGCTGCACAGTACGTGGTGTCAGGAACTGGACCCACGGTCCCTGTGCTTGCCTAAGCTTGCCTAAGCAGGAGCTTTAGTCTGCTGAACTATCTCTCTGGCCCTCAAATATATTTT